CAAAAATGCCACACAGATTCCCTTTTCCCACAAGACTACAAGGAGAATCCTATCATCATCACACCTTAAAGGAGCACTTTTGAGAGCATGCAGTTACAGACAGTCAAAAAATCAGTCATCTTCCCCTGCATGCCTTTTACACAAGCTAGTTGCCAACAGTCAGATCATATTTCAAGCAAGCACTGTGTCTAGTGAAATTCTGGCGACATACAAAAACAGGCAAGTGGTAGGCACAGCTGGCTTATCAATCACTTAAAGTCAAATCATAGCTCGTTACATAGACAGCCACAGCCAGTCAATCCAGCTTTCTGTAGGCTGAGAACTCTTAACTGTTAAAAACAGTCACTTGATTGATTTTGACTGGAAGGGTACAGAATGCATGTTTGCATAGGAGGGTTTTAATGGAGTACATTTCAAAGAATGCACCCATTTTGCCTCAAAAGTGCATTTACCATGAAAAAATTATCGTTTGAAAAGATCATTAAACAGTAGAATACGTGTACATATACATGTATGTTACTTCACACGACTATGCCTTGGATATGTGCTGTTTTGTTGTAATCACTGCACAAAATTTGGAATTAAAAAAATCGAGGCATACGTTGGAGCGCTAGTCTTCATTTCAGTCACAACTGTTTCTTTTCAAAATGTTCTACAAATGTGCGTGGGCTGTGTGAATAATTCTGAAGCCAACGCGGGACCTGATATCAGTGAATTGAATACATTGTATGCGGCTAGAAATAAGTATAGGCAAGGCTACAAATGCTGCTACATCTGATGCAAACTGGTGAGGTTTTCCCATGTTTTCTCCGTAAATCTACAGCATTACATGGATCTCCTGTGACCCAGGCCTTTGGATGAATGAAATTAACAATCAAAAACATGACATTTGTGTGAAATCTGGCCGCATGTACACCTTTAAAACTATCATGAACATCAAAGCAATTGATACTTTGCTTGGAATCCTCTTTAGGCCCAGCCAAAGCTAGACAAAGTGCAGAAGCGGCTTGTTACGAAACCCCACTGGCGATGTAATACGAGGCTCAATGCCAATGTTAAGTGGCAAGAGGCAGCAAACCCTGTGATGGTGGGTGTGCTGCATAGTTGCAATTGGACAGTTGTTGCACATCATCAAGACAGAAAATTACCTGACAAATTGCATACTTACTTCCAGGTCTTTCTGATAGACACATATTGGATCGGGAGTTCGGTTCGGCTCGCATTCTAATATTGTAATGCTAAGCTGATAGTCTCAGTAAATTGCCACAATTTCTTCCTCTAGTCTACTGATACCCACAGCTGAATTACCATTCATTTGGACTCAATGAGCAAAATCATTTCATTAAGTGGAGGCGACTCCTGGTCGGAATCGATTACAATTTATTCTCAACTTGGAATTGGAATTGGAATTGTGAAATCACCTTCTGCCAGCCGCAGCAGAACGCTTTTCAAACTGGGGGCATCACCAAAAAGGGGCACTTGCTCAGAAAAAAAGGCACCTTCCGTCGATGTGGAAGAGGAGAAAATTGTAAAACTAAGTTCACATTGCAAGGAATACATATTACCCGGAAAAAAATTTACAAACAACATTGACATTGATATACACTTTTAAAAATGTTTGCGTTAACAATTTTTTAAATCTTAATTCCTTTACTGGGAATTCCCGTATCGTTCTAAAAAATAAGGTACTTTTGTTCACTTGAGAGAGCCCTTTGGCCTCCAGCACACCCCCCCCCCCTCCCCCAGTAACCTCTCTGGGTCTGCCCTTGAATTTGACTAATTAGGCCTATGCAAAGAGGCCATTTTTTATCATGAGAGGGGCACTATTGCTTTTGATGGCCAGTTCAGTGACCATTTTATTGGCATGAGGAGCACTATTACTTTTTTAAGACCAATTTTACATCTTGAGAGGGGCACAGGTTTAATACTGCGAGCAGGGCACTATTTGTGCTTTTGAGGGGCAGTTTTCCATCTACAAATGTAGATAAGTTATCGCGAGAGGAGTACTACTGTTTTTGATGCCCGATTTCCCATCTCGAGAGGGTTTTTATTATTGCGAGAGGGGTATTGTGCTTTCGAAGGATAGTTTTCCGTCTCAAGAAGGTTCACAATTTTGTTAATGCGCGAGGGTTATTTGTGTTTTTGAGGGGCACTTTTGCATTACAAGAGAATTACAAGACAATTTTTAAGAAGGATCATAATGCTTTCATGTGTGTGTTTAAGGGGCAGTTTTGTTTTCATCTCGAGGGGGCACATTTACGACCGCGAATGGGGCAATTACGATCCATTTTCAGTCCCACGCATACTACACACCACAAAAGAGCTGCCAAGAATTACGTTGCCAAAAGTCTACTACTACAAAATACTACTGGAAGAAATTTATAAGTTTGGTTCGGAAGTAATAAGAAAGGTTTTGAATGTGCGCTGCATGTATTAGGGAAAACAGCTGCGCACGCATTGTACAATCGCCACAAGATTACCAAGACGTTGTTCTGACAGTTCGTGGGTGATAGCAGTTTTGTCACGATAAGGCCCTCTCCCGGAGGTGGGCTATAGCGGCAGTGGGTTATCGCATATCTACAAACAACGTCTTGACCCGAGACTAGGAAGCATCTTGAATTCAACACAGATAGCCGAGACGATAGTCTAAAAAGGCTTTAAGAGGAGGAGAAATATGCAGCCATGAACTGTCCAGGACCAAAATATGCCACAGTGACAAATACGCCCCAGCAGGTGCCAAGAATTAATTGACAGGGCCATTGCCATTCACCTGCTGTGACTGGGAGTTGCTAGTGAGGTCTCAATGTTGATTGCTGTACAGTTGCAGCAGTTTGTGAGGGGAACAACACTGATAAAATGTTGAGCGCTGAATTCAGGGTCACATTAGTGCCATTGAAAATTTCAGGTTAAAAATATATTATAACTTAATCCTACGAAATGGGTTATCTTTTAGTATTAGATTTGTTTTCTTTGAAGTAATTATACGAGAATTCTTTGTTCATCATATGTGACCTGCCATAGTATAATGAGGAACAACCCCCACCTTTTACTTTTCACGTTATGTACATAAAGTTAAAGCGCAAATCATTGGCTTTCCAATGATACCAAATTTATTTCTGCAGCTTAATATATGGCGTTTTGTAAATAAGCTCTTCATATTCAAGTCTTGTGTTATTTTCATACATGTAATTTGCATTAACCACTCATTAGTCCCTATAATGCCCGACACCACCCAAGCACTTCCCTGATTTTCTGTGTTTATCCGTGAATAGATACAATGTAGGTGGTAACACGTTAATGCATTTGTGTGAATCCTCAGAAGTTACGACTTGCAAATTCAAGCTACATTAATGATGACACACTGCCATAATATTATTAGGGCATTTGACTTTTTATTCCAGATAGATCAATCATTTGAACCCTGTATGCAAGTGTCTGAAAAACTGTCTGGCATGACGCCACGCCTGAGGCGAAAGAAAGTTGTCATTCTTCTGGTATGGTGATGCAAACTGCTAGAACGATTACTTGGATTATCCATCAGAGACTGCAACTACACACACAAAATGTACAATAAAGTATGCAGATTGAAAAGGCAACTGGGACTGCAAACACTGCGAAGTAGCAAACCATGAGGTGAACTGAGTGGAGAAAATATTATATGGGCCAAGAGACGTTAGTCCTTTTACATCTCAATTTGATGAGGTTACTATTGGATGATTACATAGAGAACAACATAATCCGCAAAATTTCAATACACAATTACACCATTTGTGACTTGTGCTTATCACACGATGTGGGGAATGTGCAGTACCTCACTTTGACGAAAGGATCAATTGATTTTATGCAAATTACGGGTGTTTGTGTATCATAACCACTCAGATTTGCATTTTGATAACGCGACAAATCTGCATTCTCTGTTGCGCAGCGAGTATACTGTACATTATACATATGTGCACTCGTTTGGGTTTTTTTCATATTGATGCGAATCTTGGTACATTTTTTTTCATATTGATGCGAATCTGGGTACATATACATGTCACATACGTACGGTGGATGTCTGCGCCCTCCAAATTTTCGTTTTTACAAAATGTCAAATCTGTTTTAGTAATTACAAAAAAATGTAATATCTCCTTGGTTAAAAGTAGAGCTATCACATCAGCTACGTCCTTCTCAATTTGTTCAGAGAAATGTTGAGGAAATCACGATTTGTACAATCAACCAACTTTAAATGTGATTTTCGTCGGTTTTGCTGTAGTGTGGACAGACTTTGTGCAGTTTGAACGAGCCTTTTGGTTACATTGTACATGAATGTGCAAAGATTGACTTCAGTCACTAATGTATATATCTAGATCACCCTCAGGCTTTTGTCAGGAGGATGTGCAATCAATACTGTGCACCTGTCTCGCCAATCAATCAATTACTTACAAGCCAATCAATCAATCATGACGACTCAATGATTGTTTATTATACTACTTGTTTCCATTCATGAAACAATCAGTGCTGATTAGTGTTTGGGGAATAGGGATAATATACTGTCAAGGAGATATCTTCACTGCAGGATGGGCAGCCAAGAATTTATTTTAGCAAGTAGGCCAGAGTTGTACCATGGAGGCCATAGCATGGTTGTACCATGGAGCTATAAACACAAGGAGTTGCAACGGTCAGCAGATCAAACGAACTAACTCCCACGCCGCGCTCGTAAAACACTGGGTGGTAGCTGATAAGAACTGACCGCAGACACCCCCGAGGCCACTCGCGAGCCAGCTCCCGCAAGGAGCTCTGGGTATTTTATGCGGTAGCGCGCATGCGCAATAGAATCGGCCAGCCACGAAGACGCGAAAATGGCGGCGTACGGAAAGAACGAATACTACACCGAGTCTGATTTCAGCGATTTATCTGAGGACGATGTCGATCTTGTGGCAGATAATTTCGAGGTGGAGAGCGAAGAAGATGATTCTGATATTATATACTGTATTTGTCAGAAGCCAGGCACAACAGAAATGATTGCTTGCGACAATCTTGAGTGTGACATCGCATGGTTTCATTACTATTGCGTCGGGTTGACCGCGGAAACGATTCCAGAAGATTCCTGGTTTTGCGATAGTTGTCGCACTGACATGACATTGAATAACGAATCTCGTAAGTACTGTTGATATTATCTGATCATGGAGCTATAGCTCCATGATCTGATTATGGGGAGAAACAGGCTAATTTCAAACATTTTGAAAACAGAGAAAAGAAGAAGTAGGCCTACAAATAGGCACTATTCTTGGGAGTATTTTGGGACTAAGGGAAGATTAAAAAAAAAAGTTTCTAAATTCAATTGTTTAGGCCTACTTTTGTTTATTTTAGAAAACAAAACAGGCCTCCTTTTTATAGCTGCATGGTCTACCCTTACCCTGTTGTAAATTAATACATTCTTGGCGCTGTATGTAGGGGTTTTGGGTTTGTTTTTTTCGAAAACATAATAAAAAAAGTGGCGTCTAGGGACCTACATCTACATTTTTTCCAGATAAATTCTCATCAAAAATAATTAATATATGGCCAGAACAAATTTGTTCAAATTTAAAGAAGAAAGCAATTTTTTTCTTATGCTCAATACAATCATTGACAATATACATGTACCATAATTTAGTGAACATGATTTTTTTTTCTCTGAAAGCAGCACTGAAACATGGGCTTTTGTTTGCAAAAAAATGTAATAAAAAAGATTATTCGTGTTATAATTTCTTTATCTAGCACAGCGTTTAAAAAACAAAAACAAAATAATTGAAACAAACTTAATTTAAGCCTACATGTATTTTTTATTGCAGAAGAAGCAGAGGTGGATGTATCGACCCAGGAACTTCCTGGCCCAAGCAAGACAGATGAAGCAGCAGTGCAGTCTGAACCCAAGAGCAACCCAGCTAGTTCGAAAAAAGCCAGCAAGAGACGAGCAAAGGACAATGCAGCACAGAAGGAACCAAAGAAGTCAAACAAAAAAGGTGACTGTATAATAAGTTTCTACCAGTATTTGTTGTCAGGTGTGGATGATTGGTTTGGATTCTTAATTTTTTTTTGGGGGGGGGGGAATAAAATATCATTTTTGATTGAAGAACAATTTGTGAATGTGTGCAAGGTTATAGGCTTATACTTATAGCTCCATGGAACGTGTATGTACATGTACATATTCAACAAGTTCTGGATTATGCGAGTGGTCTCTCATTAACAAAAACAATCACAAATGGTGACAACATGCCCAGATGTTTAATTGTAAATATTATTATAACTAGGAAGTTTTCTATTTATCCATTCATTCACAGGTGTTCAGCGCCCTGTTGCCAAGTTCAGTCAAGAAGATGCAATCCGGAAAGCCAGTGTTTACGTCAGAGATGGACTCCTAAACATAAAATCAGACCCAGTTTATTCTGCCAGCTATCCGATTGCCTTGTGCATCATGGCACTGGTTACTAATTTGTTAACGTTTGTAGATGTATCGGCGTTTGTTTGTTTGTTTTAGGACTTATTGTAAGTGATAGAAATTCACATGACAAACCAGAAAGAACTGTTAATGTAAGTAAAAGTGAAAAAATTTCCAAAGAAGAGGAACAAGTATTGCGATACGTTGCAGGGTATATCCCATTTGCTTTATACAAACGATTTAAAATGCACAAAAATAAAGTAGCAGAAATGTATTGTAAACTTTTGTCTTCATGGAAGGTCCCAAGCAGTTCAAACACAAAAACATTCTTAGACTATACTCACGAATGGATAAAGTTACAGAACCGTGGCGGATTGTTTACTATAAGTGATGAACTGTATATATTTTTTCGTACTATAGAAAACGAAAGCAGAACTCTCCTGACCAAGGCAAATCTAGATCAATTTCCGGGTGTTAACGTCAAGAGTTCCCTTTTTGACAAGATCCTAGCCCAAAATCGAGTACATACATACTGGTGTAGCCTAACTGAGGGTAAAATTCAAGGAGAGTGTTCAAAGCTTTTGTTAGACATCATTGTCAAATACTTCATCAAAATTAGGTGTAAGGCATTTATCAAGGTGTATTTAGATCTTAAAAAATCAGCTCTGAAGCAAAATTCCACTCAGAAAAAAGTTTCTAAAAAAGCTGAAAAGGCTTTACGCAAAGAATTAGCGTCATCCACCAATAATAAAGTAGATGGAAGCGTTTAAGACAAATCCAAGTAGTAAGGGTTATTGAATGCTGGTAGCTAAGAACCCTGAATATTATCAACTGACAGGGAAAGAAAACCCCTGACTGACTACCTGCAAACCTGCATTATTTACATATGTACATGTACACTTGAATCCAAAAATGCATAAAAGATGCAATTCTCCAAGTTGGAATGTGCTATTTTCGAAATTATTATCTGTCAAAGAATGACGGTATTAAAGAACAATGAATTGAATATTATCAATTGCAAGGATGAGATTATGTTTATTTCATGACTGAGTACCTTCGAACCTCAATAATTTACATATGTACACTTGAATCTAAATATGCAAGCTAACATGCACTATTTTTTTGTCCACTTGTACATTTCCCTCTGTTGTCGTGTCCAGCTCCATGGTCTGGCATGCATACAAGTTTTAACCATTTTAAATGCAGACCAAAGTATAGGGTACTGACTAGCTATACCTGTTGTGTTCCCATTACTTCAAGTAATTGTTTTGAAGATTAATTTAACAGTATTTCAGACATTGTTAAGGGAAAAGTCCTTAACATTTTGTTGTACATTAATAAACCATTGATGAACATGTTAGGAAGACGACAAGAATTTGTCTGGTGTTTTTTTTTTCTTTCTGAAAATTACTACAAAGGGCTGAAGGCTTTGTGAGTTGCTGCTGTTAGTGGTTTACTTTCTTTTAGGAAGTGGGGTGGAATCTATTTTGTAACCACTATCATCTTGGTTTTGCTTCCGAACATTCCCTCGCTTAGAGGCCTTAGTACATGACGATGCCACATGCAATGCCAACATATTGTGGCTGAATTGTTCAACGGTGGGATTGTCCCAGGATCCCCCAGATCCCCTCTGCTTACTGAAGTATTCCTCAAGTGGGTCTTGGTTCAGTTTCTCACTGAGAAGGAACTTGATGTTCGTCGACGACAGCAAGACGTTGGCAAGTTCAACAAAGGAGTGAACTATAGAGAGAGGAAAAGAAGCACAAGAAAAGGTTGCAATCATAAAATAAATTAAAGGCATGCAACTTTTCGTTTGACCAGAAAATTTGCCTGTTTTGTTGTTTTGACAAACAGGGCGAGTAAATAAATATTCATTTGGATATGTCATTGTCTCAGAAAGGGGAGGTTACCAAAATTTTTCTTTTCAGCCAACATTCTGTCTGGGTATTTGACAACATTCGGTTCAAGTTCAAGCATGCATGAAAAGGTGACATGCCTTTCTTTTGTGAATAGGCCTCTCCCTATCAACGCAATGACAACACTGGGCCAAAAGAGGGCATTAAGGGGGAAATCGGAGGCATATACCTGTTATCCTCAGACCGTCCAAGGTTTCAGTACTCAGGCACATTTTCTTGCGTGTGATGTCATCAAGATCAGGAAGAGCTTGAACTTCACTCTGCCACTCCCTCAGGAATCCAAGGAAGTCTTCCTTCAGCCACTAAAATTGTCAGAAAAAAAACAGAACAAGGTAGAGGGTAAATTATAAAATGTTTATATTGAAAAACAAAAACCTCCAAGTTTGGCTGTCCTATTGGTATCCTTATTTTTTTAATTTTCGAACAACCTGGCACTAAACCAAAATATTTATAAAACCTAATGTCATCATGTTGCAAACTTTTACATTCTGAAAGTGAAAAAAAAAAAAACAATATTATGCACAATTTCCTAACGAACTTTACCGTACAATAAAACCAAATTTAGCACTCCATGACATTACCGAGACCAATTAATCTTTTAAAATATTATCCAAAATGTGAGCAGTGTAGAGCAAAACTTACCTTGAAACGCCAATCATCCACACTTGTGTACGGTGCCAAAGCAGGCTTCCTGGTGCGCCTTCCCTGATTCAAGTTTGACACGTTCAGACAGTCAAAAAACTGGTCAAACATCCTGATGAATTTGACTGTTGACGCAGTTCCAACTTGACCAAGGGACTCCAAGGCATTCGCCACAGTGCTGCTGAGAACCTGCCAATCCCCCAAAAAATTTAACGTTGATGAGTTGTCATGAGATTTTTTTGTTACTTTTGTGATAAGAAGAGAGTTAATGGTTACGGATTGCTGGATTTTTCAATTTTGTTTTAAGTTCGTGAGCTCAAAAAGGCATTCTTGAGCAGTGGTGTCTGAAAATTAGGATATGGTGGCAATAAAAATATACTTGTTGACTTTATAGACACATTTAGGAAATTTGATTTTATTCTGCCGATCAAACGATTGAAAAAATGTCTCAAAATGTATAAATATGCATTGTTAACATTGATAATTGTTCAAGTAATTTATTCACCTGTGCAGCCAAGTACACACGCATCCTGAGAGAAGGCGTCAAGTGAAGATGCTCGTAGGAGACTTTGTGCAGCATCCGCAACCCTGGTGAAGTCCGCTTCAAACCAGCATCCCACTCGTACAATTCTAGGAGATGGGTCCATTTGATCTGCTGTTTGTTGTACTGTTGGAAATAACCAAAAATTGCCACAGGGAAACATTTAAAAAGACAAATTTATGTTTTTAAATGATACACATGTGCATGCACTGTACAACATATATATGCGTGTACTCGAGAACTGAGATACTCACCTCCATGTTTCCCTATTTTAATAGCACATGCCAAATTTGAAAGGGGTAAATGTATGTATTTGTGCCTTGCTGTTATTATGGATGTGGGAGGTGATTTATTTATTGCAATGTGAAGCCCTATTCTTGTCCTTCCACTCATACTAGCTTCATAATCAACTGCATTTACATTTGTCTTATTTCCTCTTCAGTAATTAAACTGAAAACACAAAGCAATCTCTAAAAGCATGTAGTTTGATTGTAAAGTGCCAAGGAGTATTTCTTAAATGGATTTGGTGCTATAGAAATTCCATTTATTATTATTATTTTATTAGAGCAATATAATTTCCACCCCAACTGATTTTTAATCAGTGCACGTATTTAGCAACAGAAAAGCTCCTTGGTTTCAACTTACGAACAGTTTCCTTGTGTTGTTGTTGTACCCCGAGTTCTCAAAATTGTTGCGTGTTGTTTTGAGCAGATGTGGCACATCACAGATGAAGAAAATTTTGCGACTCGGGTCAACAGGATTGGCTGTAGCATAGATGAGGCTGGGTGACTTGTCGTGAAGGCATCCAGAGTGAAGCCTATAAAACTTTCTGTTTGATGAGGCACCATCTGCGACAAATGCCCGCACAGCCATCCCGGCTGTTTCTACATATCGGACACATTCCCACAAGCAGGGATACAGCTGCTCGCTGGTCACTCCAGTAGTGGGGTACATGGCAACAGGAGAGTGAAGTGAGCTGTCAATCCCTCTTACCATGATTACAAGAACATGACTCGCCAACTCAGACTCTTCCTCTCCCCTGCAGCGCTTATCAAACCTACTTATCTCATTAGCAATGTCACCGACATCAGTGAAGCCAACAATCTGGCCTGATCGTACAGAATAAACCAATCCAGATTTGACTTTCATTTCGTCAAATAACAGACAAACATTCTGCGACTCTTCTGGGTTGCCACTAATGTTGTTCTCCACCACAACTCTGTTCAGTAAAGCCGAATTAAATCCGATCTTTGGATCAGCGAAGTGTGTGTACCTGTGAAGTGTACTCGGATGAGGTAACTGCAGGAAACCGGAACCCCTCATCAAGTTGTAGGCCGACGCTGACTTTGTATGCATTGCAATGCACCACCTGATGACAGCAGGGTGCCAGCGCATTTGTTTACCCTTAGCAACAGCACTCTTCTGTTGCTCCCAAAGAAGCCTTGCTGGGGTATCCTCTCCCAAAAGGTCGTTGGTGAGGGTCTGATCTAAGTTGTCAAATGCCTCCTCCATTCCCTTCTCCTGTAGAGGAGTAAGGTGAATGCTTTCTTCTTCCATCATGGACGAAATTCTGGTTTCCAGTGCAGCATTTCGTCGTAGCAAATTCCGTCTATCGCTCTGGAGATCTACCACCTTCTCCTGTAGCTGCTGCTTTGACAGGGAAATATTTGGGGCATTGGATGATGCAGATCCGCTTCGTTGTTGCTTCCCCATTAACCGGCTTGTAGCAGATGCGAGATCACCTCTGTGTATTTTACAGTAGTTGCACCTTGTTCTGCTGAATTGCACCAAAAGGAGACAGTTCTTGTGCCGCACTGTCCCATCCACAACGACATCATTGTTAGTGACCTTTGTCGGAACTTGACCTTCTGATCCACACTTCGAAGCCACTAATTCAGGGAAGTCAGGATTTCCTAGACATGCATGCATCCCATCAAGCTTGCTGCACATGATGAAGGTGTCTTCAAGACCCAGGAACTCAGGGACATCCTTGCACAATGGGTGATCGCTCTTACAAGTGATGCCACAAATATTAAGCACCCACGAAAAATTGGCCAGGATTGTGAAGAACACAATGGGATTGCCCATCTCATCAACTTTGAAGATTTTCACTCTATCGTCACCTTTCCAGACCATTAAGGAAAACTTCTCAGCTGTAGTGCGGTGAGCATCTAAGGTCACAACAACTTCACCAGTGCACCTGTCACATGAACTATTAGCGAAGATGGCAATATTTATGTTGCAAACAGCTTGTTTACGCTTTGCACGGTTTTCTTTCCATCTCCTAAGCTTCAGCTCACACGGCTTGCACACATAGGGAGGATGGATGCCTATCACATCGTCAGCCACAGCGATGTCAAAAGCAGCCTTGATATCCACAGCAAACTGCTCTTTCAGCAAAGGATTTCTGCCCTTCTGTTGGGTACGACTCTCACCACAAAGGCGACAAACTCCCAACAAGCAATCCTTGTGTTGATTCATCCGACTCTGTTGAATAATAGAATAAAATATTAATTAATATTAATGTGTTGAGATAATACATGTACACCCATTACGAGACACCTCCCCCCCCCAAAAAAAAAAAAATTATGTCACAACTTAATGCAACAAATGCAGGCAGATGAACCTGATTGTTTTGATATAGGACCTATGATTAGAAAAAAGTGGCATCAGGTTGCAATATTTTTTCCCATACTGTTATAAATCTCCCCGCCCCCTGATAAAAATAAACAGACAAAAGGAAAAATGTTCGTATATTCCTCACATATTAATTGGATCACTTAATTATAATTTATATTCATAAAGTTACAATTTTCTAAAAAACACAAACAAAGGACCCCCCCCCCCAACAAAAATAAATAAATAAAAACAACATCCCTGAACATGTTTTAAAAGGCTAGCATGTCACATTTAACAGTTAAAAAAAAAACGTTTTTCATTTAGAAATTGGTTTTGGAACAATCAAAATTTTTGATATAAAAAAAATGATTTCCAATGCAGTCTGGCATTTCATTTTCTTCATCCAAACTTCAAAAAAGCTGAAATTATTAGTGAAATTAAGTCTTTCCTCCCAACAAGTTAACAAGCAAAAACATATAAAGCTGCAAGGAGCTATGAGAATTACCACGCTGCGGTGCGGATGAGGGAAAAAAATCCACGAAACGATCAATTTTTGTCGCATCATAAAATTTCTGTACGCTACCGTACACTTTCACGCAATGCACGAATGGTTAGAAAATACGATCGTTTATGTTCTGAAACAAGTTTGATCTTCCGGAACCTTTCGGAATCGTTTTTATTGATAAAAATATCATTTACTAAAAATTCATTTCTCTGGCAATGTGTTCACATAAAACTTACCAAATCTCGGCAACAGAAAGTCTGATTTGAACGCAGAAAAGACCGACGAGTTTGGATTTTTTCGCTGAATTTATCGATGAAGATGGCGCATGGTACAGGTGGCTTGGAAACTACTGCGCATGTCTTCATTCGTTTGCTTACCGATGGCTACTCTAATAAAATAAGTAGCCGTGGAGATTTCATTACTCCAGTAAGGCGATGCGCGGCGTGGGAGTCTGTGCACAAAGGCGCTCATCGCGGTCGTAAATCTGCTCGCGCTGCGGGAGACCTCCACTGGGTTTGTGCATGGCCACACTGCTCCTTAATTGGCTGCTAATGTCTTAAGGGGATTTGGCGGGCCGTTCGAACTCCTTCCTTTTTATAGCTCCATGGTTGTACCATGGGGTTGGATTGTCACTGTTTCCTTTTTTATTCAGTGGCACTGGGATGACGATGGGCATACCTTGCAATCGCAATCAAATTGTGTAATCAAATATATCACTGTACCAGATTGTAATATTGTGCACAGTGACATCGCCAGGTACTGTTTTTGTCTTCTTGTTGTTTTTCACTGCGGGATACCAGCTCAACAAATCATCATGTCTCTCCATTAGTCAGTTAGTTAGTGACAAACACTGACACTGTCTATTGCTCCTATATACATTATTTCGACCAATTTCAACCAAACTTTGTCAAAGGTATGATAAGTAGCCTAGTCCCAACATGTCACATGACCAAACTGGGGTCAAAGTTCATCATGGGGTCACTGGGGTCAAAAATCAAATTTTTTTAATACTAATTCGTTGGCCCGTAGCTTCTAAGATATTTCCGATTGAACGTGTTTATTGAAAGGGTACTTGTTGGGTACTCGCACAAAGGCAACAATTTGCCTCTAAAGAAGGCCTTGTTAAGACCAAAACGTCAGGCCATCTAATTCTTTTTTATTTTCAGAAAAACACATAAAACTGAAGAACCCTGTTAACTTTTAACTTCCTTTTGTTATACTAACTAAGAATGGTTTAACAAGCCAATGTTTAACTACATTGTACTTCTCTTCTGTTCACTTTTTTTCACAGATGTTACAAAACGTGACTGATACTGAAAGGTCAGCAAGAACGTAAACAATATCCTTGATGTGCCAAAAACATCAAAAGTATGTTTCCCAAACTTTAGCCTTTGATGGCAGAGGGGGTTCTGGCCAAAACGTGACCTTAGTTAGGCTGGGCTTGTTTGTAAGAGCACAGGACAACAACAGGTTGGACTTTCTGAACTTGCCCAATTAGGAGTGCAGGGAAACAATGTCTTGAGAGATTGTGGTTGTTTAAAGGTATACTCCATCATTTGTAATTTGTGCATTTTGTTCATTTGAAGCAACAAAACTGCTCAAAATCTAAAGAAGGGTGCTGAACAACTGACCTGATGAAGTTTCAGCGCAGCTTCAGCTGTATATTTCGAGAAAAACAACATTCTAGGATCTCGATTTCAAATCAAACGTTGCTGAATCATGTTTTGAATTGGGCCTGAATTCCGCGTCCGAGACACGTTCTCACTGAGCCGATTGCAGCTACGCGATGTCGCGCACCGATCCGACGAATTATAGCAACCACACTGTGTCGTGTCAACGCTTGCGCGCTTCACTGAATAAAATAACGAATTACTAACGGAAATTTCCAACAGTGCTTCTTAAGGCCTTCTTTCGTTGATTTCTTCAAAATGACAGCTTGCCAGGAAGAATAATTTCACAGGGAGTTTAGTCCCCTTACTATCTTTCAACCAAGTATGGTTTTCAACAATAATTATGCCAGTTACTTCTTGGATAGCTGCAAATAATGGACTTTGGTTTTAAAAGGCTGGGAGCTGGGGTGTGTTAATGCCCCCTTCCACTTCTTCATTCAGCTTATCACAATGTGGATGCCTATTAAAGGGTTGTCGTAACGGTCCTTTCCTCGCCTTCCACTGCTGTGACCCCGGCTACCTGATTCCGTGGGTTTTCCCCTAGATTATTCTTCTGGGGTTTTCCTCCCACCTCTAAAACTGTAATTTCTTCTCATTGTCTCCTCTGTACATGTTCCTTCAGGCTTGCGAGCTACAGTGCCTAAGGCACTTTTTGAGGAATCCTTGGTGTCTTAACCAGAAATGACAGGGCCTAATATTAATATTAATAATTTTGGAGATTTTGTCATATTTAATAAAAAACTGTTTGTGAGGAACATTCATTAAATTGTATTCGCTCATCATTTCGTTCTTTGATAATGTTTTACAGGGAACTGGCACTCGACAAGCCTTGCTTCTTGTGGGTCCCATCCATCCCTGCTTATATTTCCTAACACCACGAAAATAACCTCATTTTGTAATGGTTTGTATAAATAATAATAAAGTGGTTAATTAGTGTATATGTACCTATCTTGCATGGAAATAATGGCAAGTAAAAGGTCTACTGGGATTGAGCGAGGCAAACAAGCAGGTGGTTCTACGAGGGGAAGGCTTCAGTGGGTTAACACATCCCTCTAATTCTCCACTGAACCCCTCCCCCACCCCCCAATAATTATTTTGATTTATGAAAGGCACCAGTCACAAGTCCTTGGATAAATGCCTTGGACAAGGCCACTTCAGGTGAGGGTTGCACAGTGAGAGGAAAAACCAAAAGGCAAGCCAGAAAAAATAGATGCAGAATTTCATGGATTCTTTTGTGCACATGTCCCAAGATATTTTACTTTTTCTGCCCCTGCCAAAGATTCATACATTTCCGGTCAATCTAGTCAGTAAGCATTTGCAGCGGTTTTAAGCATTTTCATGCTATTAACACTTTGTCTGAAACTTCCCATACAAAATCTCAAAAAAAACCCAAAATCTTCTTTAATCATTCCCTTACAAATTCTATTCCCACTATTTTTCCAATAGATCCTCAAAAGTTATCACTTCAAAACTCTTTCTATTAGCCTGTTGCATATTGGACAAAATTACTTTTGTAATAAAAAGATAAAACCTCTTTCACGAGTTTGAATACTGTTTGTTGGATGAGGTGTTTGTAGCATTTTTAAAATTCAATTATTGTCATTTGTTTTTCCAAAAAAACCTTGAAAAGTCATGGTGTAAACAACAGGTTAGCATAATTTCAATGTATGCACTGGCCAAGTAATACTTTTAAGAATTATCCAGGGTTTATGAAGTTTGCACACAAGTTCACAAGCTACATGTACATGTACATGTGACAGTTTATCCACTCAATGATCCAGTACAAATCATATTAATTTCTACACATTAAGGTCTGGACATATTATTACCAGCAGAATATTTCTCAAATTTTCTCAAAGTTTGGCACATGTTTTCAACAGTGAAGGTCTTTTCATAGGCATGACAACCTTAACTTCAAGGTAACCAGACACACACACCCACAGCCCCACTATTGATTTATGTAATTGGCTCTAACAGTGTCGGCAGTCTGGAATCACCAAGTCTATTATTTCAAATCAGCAGTTCCGAGATTTTTCGAAACTTCGGCTTCATTTCCAGCTTCGGCTTTATCTCTAGATTTGGTCCAAGACTGGATTTTGATTTTATTCAACCAATGAAGCCAGTCTCTGACATGCGGAGTGAGGAAACAGCAGCAGTAGAGGCCAACACGAGGAATCAATTCTAGTCTTAGGAATTTTGGCAGTGCTAACCAGGAAATTCTGCGCAGACCTGCTGCAATTGCATTAGCTTTAATTAAGCTCTGAACTTCCTGGGTAGCATTGCCAAAGTTCCCAAGACTGGATTTGATTCATCTTGTGAATAGGATTGTAAGGGGGCCGTATCATAAGTCCAATGCCTCAAAGATCTGACACCTCATCAAGGGCGGATCCAGGGGGGGGCAAAGGGGGCCATGCCCCCCCCCCCCCAAAAAAAACGAAACCAATTTTTTTTTTTTTTTTAGGTGACATCGCAATAAAGGCAGGCAATGAGTACACCACCATCTTTTCCTCAAAAAAAAAATTGGTTAAAGTGGTCAGAAATTGCCTCAGATCGCACCACACAGCATCTAGAATCCAAAAAATTTTCGGGGCCCTTAAGCGGGCCCCGAACCCCACGCCGTAATTTTTTTGACCCACTTTTTTGGGGGACCAAATTTTTTTTTGGCCCCCCCAAAAAATTGTGTTCTGGATCCGCCCTTGCACCTCATAAGTCCGAAATTTCGGATTTATGAGGCATAAATTCCGCCTAATAGGTCGGACGCCTCGTAAGTCCGACACCTTATGAGGCATCGGACCTATGAGGCATCGGACTTATGAGCGGACCCCGATTGTACATGTATACTGCATGCTGTAGCAGTATACATGTGCAGTCCCTGTGCAATCCTACCCGTGAAAAAGTACTCGCACTCATACTGATAGTAGAAAAATGCCTCGTACGTGTACTTGGACTCATACTCATGCTCATGGCAACGTTCTCATACTTATAAATACTCAAACTTAAAGGTACCCACACTCAAACTGCTGGCAAGGCTGCGGGTCTCCAGGCAGAGTGCTCATACTCTTCACTCGTACTCATGGAAATGTACTCCACTACAACACTGCCTGAAGCCTAAGCTAGATACAAACCCACGATTTGGAAAACTTCACTGATCTGACACTGACCCCTGCTTGACTGGTGCTAGGCTTGTTTTCCTAATATTTAGGCGCTGCTGGGTGGTTGCGCCTGTGGGGGTTTTGCCAATGTATACCTCCCAAAGCATGTGGGCAACAGGTGAGGAACAAGTTAGGGGTCTATAAAAAGCTCCCTGTCTTGGTTTTGCTGTAGTTTGGCATTGAGGGTGCAGGAAGCTCAAGGGAAATGTAGGAATCAGTCAACAGATAATAATTTGGTTTGGATGCTTGCTTTTACAAGCTAAAAACCTTCTGTTGAAAAGTTGGCTTGATAAGAGTGATGAGTTATCCTGTACTGGACTGGTTACTTAATATCAGTGCTACATGTACAAACTGGCTGCCGTAATTTCTAAGACCAAATTTTGAGGTAAAAATACTACTGACAGGATTTTTGACCATCTGATCCAATTGGCGGTGTCATTCATAACAAAAACTCACGTCATAGTCCAAAAAGTAGCATTTCACTGAACATAGTTGTAAGGACAGGACAGTTTAGGCCAAATTTTAAAAAAATATGTTGAGCGTCCCCACCCGCTTCCTTTTTGGAGGCCGCATCCTCCTTTTTTTTTTCTTTTTTTTTAAAGAAAAAATGATAAATTTTAAACAGTGACAAAAACTGACATCATTTTGGCCTTCTTGTCTGTTGCATCTAGCCCAGATAAATCTGGTATGTCATTTCCTGAGTTCAAGTGGCGGCCATTTAAAAAAAAAGCTGGCAGCCATCTTGAAAAATAGCCCGGTTGAGCGGCCATTCTGGAGGGAAAAAAAATAGAAAGGGCCTCCTCCTTCCTTTTTTTCAAAAACGCAGGACGCTAAACATTTTTTTATTTGGCATTATAGAGTGAAAAAATAATGTTAGATTGAAAATAATTTAAGAACAAATTACTGGAGTGGATACATTATGTCTTTAATGACTACATATGAAAGATCACATGACCTCACAGTATTTTGCCCCCCCCAAAAAAAAAGAATCCACATTTATCCCTGAATTTGTACAGCAACCAATTTTCCCAGCATACTCAGCAGAAAGAAAGTACTACCCTACCTACATGTATAACTCATTTCATCACCAATTGCTTGTCAGACAAACATTTCTCCTTGTTATTCTATGAATGAGGTTTGACAGACATGACTTGCCCAAGGGCGAAAATTCACCACCATTTAACATCAGGACGCTTGTTTTATGAATGAGTGGGACAGACATGACCCTGGGCCCCAAATCCAGATCAAGTACTTTGCAAATGGGTTGGACCCTTGGGACCAGACTTGTTTGTTGGGGATGGGGTTTTTCCCCTAGTGTTGTGATTCATGGGGTGAGTAATGGAGGTGATAATCTAGGGGGTTTGGAGGGAGTGACCTGGCTTCCTTTTACACCCATGCTGAGGGGTTTATGGGGATGGAAAGGTGGGGAAAGGGGAGGGTCTCGGAAGTGTGACTTTTTGAAGTTAACAAGGATGAGCAATCATACAATGTAGCAGGCTATCTTTAATCTTCCAAGATCAATGGCCTTAAAGGTAGTATACAACAATTGCAAACAGCAACTACTAAATTTTAGTGAAATATCGTACTGGACAGTAAGTAAATAATTGTCTTACAAAGCTTCCTATGAAATCATGACACCAGTGTGCTGTCATTTTCAAGAAAAGTGAATTTTTTATATAAATTTCCAACTATGGTCGACTGACCATTGTTGGAGACAAAACACTGACTTTTTTCCTTTGAATATTGCACCCAATTTAGCTACTGCTCTCAATTAGTTCACATTTTGTTTGCAATCAGTTACAAATCCGTGTACAAGCTAGTGCAAGCCAGACGTGACAATTCACCAACGTCTATAACTTATTCTGTTTTGTATGAAGTAGTGTCAGGAACCAGTTTATAAGAACATCAATTTGTTTTCTTGGTTTTCCATTTTTTTTAAAGTCAGCATTTTTTTAAAGTCATATTTGAAACATGTTAGCCCTCTTGAGGGGAAGATGAAAAACATCCTTTACGTTTCTTTAAAACTCTACTATTGTTTGATCAGTCACAGACAGTCAAAAATTTCTTCTACTTCCCCTGCCAAGCAGTTGAATACAGACTAGTATAAATAGTCACATCACATTCCTATAGACCATGTGACTACTCAAGTTCCATCAACAGACAAAAGAGGTAGCTAGTACGTACAGCTGGCACATCAATCACCTCCAGTCCAAAAATGGCTATATCAATTGACAAGGGAATTTGTTTCTGTTAAAAACAATGCACTTGATTGATTTTGACTGCCGTGAGGTCATAGCTGTATTTGTCAACAAGAGAGGGAGCTTTATATTGAATATAAAAATGCGCAGATGTTTGTTTGTGGAATGTTACACTTTTGTCGAAAGCCACTTTTGCGTGCATAATTTGAGAGCTTGATGAGCCACTATGAGCACTCTAATAGTTCAAAATTCTTCTTTAAAATTGGTCAATTATCAGCCACTCTGCTACCTGTTCTATAAATTATTTTTATAAGCGCCAATTTTTAAACGAGTGCAGATGCTTGCGAATGAGTATGAGTTGCCAGTTTAGTCTGGTGTATGTTAAACATTAATAGCACATTTATTTCAAAATGTACAGCCCTATTGACTTGACGGACTCTATCTCAATATACGCTCGGTCCAAAACTTCATTATAAACTTTAACACACAAAACAGTCTGAATGAGGTTTTTTTTTAATATGTTAAAAATTTGGAAGAACACATGGTGGTGAGTTGAAAGTTGTCAGTGGGCAGCTTATTACGGATTGTAAAGATGGATAGACCCTCTGAACGTTTCTGGTTAAATGTTTTCATAATCCCACTTCTGCCACCTGTGACAATTGTATACCTGATCCTGAATGATAGGTCCTTGCTCTATAATCAGAGGACATTGTATGTAAAGGTGGGACACCTGCCAGACTGTTTACAACACCTCCCACCTGTCTCCCATCTCATCAATACATCTGATCTATCCATATCAAGCTGCAATTGACCCTTACCCTCCCAAACACTTCACTATTCACTACAAGATCTATTAGGATCTAAGTAAGATTGAGGAAGGAAGTGACTCCTGCCACTTTGGACAAAGCCAATGAAATGGGGATAGATGAATAGTAAATGGGGATGCATTGCAGCCTTAAAGGGCTGGTAATACAAGGAGTATTTGCCTAAAGGCAACCACAAATTATCAATTTCTTTTGCTTTTTGCACTAGGTAAAAATGACGTTACACGTTGTGTGTTCAAGTCCCACCAGAGTGATTTGTCCAAACTTTCACTTGAGAGGTAACACACTGATGAGTATACAGTGTTTATACGTCAGTGAAGGGCAAAACATTTTATCAGGCATGCAACTGGGAATTTAGAGAACAAGGAAACTCCAAGACAAACTAGAGTTTGTACAGTCTTTTTCAATTTGTAATGGCATTCATGAGAAGTAAAAAACAAGAAAATCAGTGGATCCGAGGAAAAGTTGCATGCCTGCTTATGTACATGTAGATCAACACTGTTACAGTTAACCCTCAGATATTTCAGATTTTAAAAAAATCTGAAATGAGGGAAAAACCAATATAAATCCTACAATCAGGTAAAGTCCTGACAGTAATCAATGAACATGATTAATGTGCACAATCCCACAGTGTCAATGCGTAAGCGTCTGGAATCATTGGTAGTACATTAAAATGTCCTTCCATGGTCTCCCCCAACTGTCCCTTTGCTACTGTGAGTGGGTACTTGTGAAGGAATTCCATATGATAGAGATTTTATGCACTTACCCACACAGCGTCCACCTTGTGCAGTTCTCTGCAGCTGGAAGCCAGCAGGGCACGTGGGGTTCCCAGGGAGGGTGACAGGCCCAGGGGCTGGCATGCCGCCAATGCAGGTACTGCAGCCTGCAACAAGATGACCAAAATCAGTAAAAGCGAAGTGCATTAGCAAATTGAAAAACACTCCACTTCCTATCAACCACTACCACTGTAGTTTCAAACAGGTCAGGGTCTCTGTGTTATAGTGAACCTCTTTGCCCCGATTGACAAAGTTGTCAAAGTACGGAGAATAATTAGTGCAAAACAATACTTGACTTGCAAACACATCACCCGTGGCACCAACAGGTTTTAGAAGAGGCATCCGAATCGCATTGTGCCCACCTTAGAGAATGTGCGCAAATGTGGTCGTAACTCAATTCTGCAACAAGGTTGTATCTCGCGGATCGTGACGTCCATTGACTTTGTGTGTACATCCGGGTTATTTTAAACGAGATACGACCTTTTGACATTGAAAACTCGCATTTCACGTACATGACATCACACGCCATTTAAGGAGATAGGACCTTGTTGCACGGACACGATATATCTACATCTGATATAAAAATCTGGCATGTTCTTTCTTACCTCTGTTATCAGAGCATGTTCGTCTGTTGCTCATCAAATTTCCTGTGGAGCAGGAACACCGGTATCCTCCCAGTGTGTTTCTGCAGTTCTGCTGGCACAGCGACGAATATCTTGAGCACTCATCCACATCTAAGGAAACACAAGTAGTGAACGATTATGCTACAAATTGTCTCCCCTCCTGGATTTTCTAGTGGGTTTGGGCTGAGCATTTTCTAATCATTTATCATTCGATTTTTGGACTTGATCACACAGTCAAATATTTGAAATGTGCCAATCAAGTTTAATATGTGCAAGCCTTAACTCGCCGATTGGGATTTGGGAGTGTCTGCGTTTGTCAAAAATTGATGAAGAGCTTATAAAAAGAATATATAGCAACAGGTGGTTGAATGGCTGCTTTTTGACAGATTTTAACCCTTACCACCCCACCCTTTAAAATCCAACTGCACGTTTTGTTGGAATGCGTTCTGCAATCTGCACTGGTCTGATTATACCTGTATGCTTTACACAGACATGCAACTGGGAAAAACAAGGAAATTCCAAACCACACAAGACTTTGTAGGCCTACAGTGTTTTTCAATTTGTAAAGGCGTTCATGAGACGTAAAAAAATAAGAAAATAAGCAGCTCTGAGGAAACGTGGTATACCTGTTTACATGGGGTCATGCTAACCACCATAATCAGAGTCCAACCATAGGGGTGTTGGATTTTGCAAGAGTGAGGAAGGTTCCTAGAATATCACTCAAGGGAGTTAGTTAAAGAAGAAATTTGAGCTAATATTCCCCATGGAAGCCCTCAAATCTTGCGCTAAGGTGGCTTTCGACAAAAGTGTGCCATTTGACAAACATTAACTTATACGAATAAAAGAAATATCTACGACTTCTTTTTTTTCATGATGTTCTAGAGACCACTTACATTTTTTGAATATTTGAAATGAAAACAAAAAAAAATGCTTTATTCCATTGATGACTGAGTATTTGAATATTTGGTATATGTGCACAGCTCTATCTCCCAATTTACAAAACGAATATTCAAAACTATCTCACCTCTGCAACTCCTTCTGTCCGAAGCCAGCATGTACCCTGGTGGGCATGTACAGCTGATTGCTCCGGTAGCCGTGGATCCGCACGCATACCGACAGCCTGAATTGCTGCAGGAATTACGTCCCGCGCTAGTGGAGTAGGAAGGTCCAGTCTGGTACCCTTGTTGAGAGTGGGTCTGGTAACCCTGAATGCCGCTTGTCTGGTACCCTGTTCCATAGCGTGGGGCCGAAACTGGCTGGGAAGTCTGGCGGCTCATTGGTGCATACTGGGTTTGGCTGTAGGGGTGCACTGTGGGAGATGGAAAATAAGACATGAGTATTTGTTACTTTCCGATTTAAAATATGGGGTGGAAACACAGAATGCAAATTGAGCTTTGTAGATGATCTTTAATTATCAACTCTAACGTTCCCAACTATATCAAAATGCATCCCCCCATTTTGGTGGATTTGGGGGGACTTGGTCCTGCAGACCTGGTCTGACTAAATACTGATGGAGTATGATGGACTTAATTGGGCACGGAGGCCTAAAGCAAAGCTTTGATAATTATATATAAGGCACTCCTTTTCTCCAATTTAAAGAATGATTCGAATTCTGCCAAAATGTACAGTTAATAAAATCTTCAGAATGTTGCTTAGATTGCTATGGGCATGATGCATCCAGCATCTACGAACACAAAACTTTAAACAAGTCATTGTAACAATATTTGCTTGACAAAAAAACCCAAATCCATCCATTTATGAAAGTTACAGTAAAAGCACATGTTGTATATTCCCTTTAAAAAAAGAAATCCAATATTTTTGCCACTGACCACTACCTTCACCAGTGGTTTCAATACTCATATCATAAGTATTTAATGCATTATGTGTCACCAGATCTCATTTTTTTGGGAAATTATGGAAAGTAAAGAACGCTGAACTTTGACCTGGGGCAGAGGTTGTAGGAGACTGTGCAGCCCTGATGACAACCCTGACCCCAAAATGGCACCCCATCTGCCCCAGACGGCCAATCAGTGCTTCATTGTGTTTATTTCTAAGCAGGGATCAAGTGGGTTGAACCGATGAGGGATTGGCATTTCCTCATTAAGGGAACACAAGGGCAGGAGAAGTTTATTCTGGAGTCAGGTCGGTCCAGCGGTACGTTTTCTAGTCTTTCATCTCTGTGACCCCAGTTCGACTCCCACCCAGGCTGACATGTGGATTGGGTTTTCAGTTCGTACCTGATTTTCTTAGGCACACAGTTGTATGGAGGTCTCTTTCAACCTTGACAAGTGAACATTTCTACATTTTTTTTCAAAACTTTTCTCCGAATGGGTTTCTGCAAACTTTGCAAGCAAATATGCCTTTTGTGGATGTTAAATGCTTTATCATGACTGACAAAATAATATTCCAGAGCATAAATGTGTGTAAATCTTCTTCCTGTGTCCTTAAATTTTAATTAAATCTTAATTAAGCATGTTTGGATAAATATGCTTTGTTATCTAACTTCTAAAGCACCCTTCAATGGTAAGACAGCTGTGTTTGTTTAAACAGTTTTAAAATCTGTGCAACCTTTCACTTTTTTCAAAGGGATGTAGCTTGGAAATGAACTCTTTATTTGAACAGTCTGTGCGGTCTGCACAGTGTTCACGTAGGCCTGGGTGTACAAATGTACATGACATGTACATACACACAAGTGGGATCTTAATACTAGCAAAGCAAAGTTGTAGGCCTATACACGTCTACCTACAAAACTGGAACTTGCTGTGAATAGAGTTGAAAGTCCTTTGTCAAGGTTACCCCACTGGTTGTGACAAGGACAAAAACCTTGTTTTAAAATGGTAATTGTAGCATTAGCCTATGTAGCTCCAACAACCTTTAATCAAATGAATCATTTCCCATATAAAGAACCATTATAACAGATTCTCCACTGAACTTATTACGCTCGTAACACGTGTAAAGGATTAACAATTCCAAATATAGTACAAAAGCTTCTTTCTTTAGTTACATGGACAAATAATTGGTTTCCATATGATGGCCATTCCATATGTAGGCTGTGTGATTTCCTTTACACAGGCAAGTTCCCGACACTCTCGTACTTTCCTACATGTAGATGATGCCACATCTGGCAAAGTACACAGTAGGTGAACCAACCGCAAGTACCAAAAAAAGTACAAGCTCAAATGTAATGAGTTTTCTTCAACAAATGATGCATTGTTAATCGCAGATTCACGCAACATCAGTTGCATACATTTCCCCAAGCAAATAAATTCTTGGCAAGCTGCTATGAGTCTTAAGTATGAGTTGGTTTTTCCAGGTTCGCTTCTGCTTTGAATTCTATTTTTGTATGCGCTGAAAAAAACACCTGCTACAGATAATAAGCCAACATGTCATGTCAAACCACACAAGAAATTGGTTTAATCTAACTGAGGCAATTAATTCCGAATACAAAGTGTTACGATTCACAAAATCTACTTGAGGTCGACCTACGATGTGCCGCAACAAAAACGGTCAGCATAAAGCACAAAAGTCAGGCTCAGATCACAAAACTGAAGACATGTGGAACAAGCAGCATCTCGACACAGAAATAGTCTCAACCATGCTCACGTCACCCATGACGCGACGAAGATTCACAATACAGTAAGATGTTCCGGATGCGTGCACGATGTCGTAACCTTACACAGATTGACCTGGATTGATTCCTGCCTGTTTGGAACATATGTTCCAAAATACAGGATCAATATAATGAAAATACAGATCCTCTGCTTTCATTGGTGGGAGCAAGTGACTTCTTCAAGACACACTCCTGGTAGTGCACCAGTGGATCCCTTCTATTGCATATCTCACATCAGAATGGCTTTTGGGCTTTGATTCCTAAATCACAGACTCAAGGATCCAATTGTGGTCGAAGCCAATGGCTCCGTGCCTACTTCCCCCAGGCTAACACCAAATCACAAATTAGATGGTTAACCTATGCCAACTGTCGAATTATAACTTTAATTGGGTATGGCGAAGTTCATTTTGGTTGATGCTGCAAGGGATGGTTGACCGATGGGCTGATATATGGCAGAACTTCCTGAGAAGGTGACTCAATTTAGAGATAGTGGTCAAATTTGGTCAAACTTGGAACGTGGACAAAGGGTGGCTAGATATACCGTGTTTATCAGAGAGGATGAGAATGACCACATGTGAGTAATTTAGAGATATGTTCATTTTTCAAAATCTTAAGTAAAAGCTGAAAGCTTGCACTCCACAACGATGCAGTTTCCAACGTACATGTAACGTACCTTTAGCCCTTTCACACAAATCAATATCTTCTTGTTAGACCCACGTCGAACCTCCAGATTTCATGAACCCCATACAGCCACACTACCAAGATTACAATAAGAATTCTACATGGGTACCATGTGTGACATGGTCAACTTTTGACCACAGTCGGGACAGTGTCTCTTTCCTTTTAAAAGGTCAAGTCTGGAAGTTGTCTTTTGCAATCAGCAACAAGTACACCAGTCATTCTTGAGACAAAGTCAAGTGACAAGGATTTGTTTCTTTGTCCTAGTCCCTGGGGTCCACCTGTGAACCTATACAAAATCACAAGTCCACCACAAGTTCATCCCAAGTTAATCATAACAGGAGATAGTCTAATTAGGTTGAAACTTGGTATGTACGTAGACAGGGATGGGTTATAGGTTAAAATTGATGTGCACGATTACATCATCATGGGTAATGTGATGACATCTTCAAAATGCATACTATTACTAGAGAACTGCAAGGCTTGCCAAGCAGCAAGTAATGTTATGGAACTTTGTTATTTGCCTGACTTCACATGGAAGAAATAAGCATGAAGTCATAAAATAATCATATTGCGGAAAGGTCTTTGTTCTGTTCATGGAACAGACGTAGCTCTAGTTGTCAATTGACTTGGGACTGGGTGACTTCTGATGGACTTGTGAGGACTTCTGATGATGACTTGTGATGGACTTAACTCCAACACTGCTCCTCCACCTCTCCCCATCACACATTAGGGAATCCTGCCATTTCCTTCCCCAACTCCAACCCAACATCCCCTCCCCCTCAGGATTTAAGCCCTTGTTAGTTACTAATTGCTACATACTGAAATGATTTGCAAGACACGTGCAAGTCTGCTTTGGCTCTATAAAACCTAAATTTGGTACTGTCTAAAAATAATAGCCATGTCTGCGAACCCAATTAACAGTGAAAAAAAAAACACAACATACAGTGTAAATCTTCGCGTCAGTGCAACAAGGTTGAACTCCATTCTGCAACAAAGTCGTATCTCCTGCGAATACACATGTACGCTCCGTGCAACAAGGTAGTTTCTCGACCTCTACTGGCTTTACGTAAACATTCGGGTTATTTTAAGCAAGATACGACCTTTTGACATTCTGAAACTCGCGTTTCGCATTCATGCCATTTTAGGAGGTACAACGTTGTTTGCATTGACGCGATGAAAGGTAGGGGCAAATTTGCTTGTACACTGCATACATTAACATTTGCGGGTTTTGAAAATATTTTGTGGGATCAGGGGAGGGTATGGGCTCCGTGCACAAGTACCACTTCAACGGCCAGAAAAGGAGAGTTGTGGGAGACCTACATGTAGACTGGTTCCCGGTCCATCCGCTGCGTATTTCAAATGTATCCAAAATTATTGGGGGCGGCGATTAGTCTGGGAGACCATCGCAAGTTAAATTCGAACGTATTCGCGTGCCGACGATGCCTGACGCTCATGCGCGAAGACACTATGGCTTGGATTTGTGCACATTCTGGATAAACAAGTCGTGCGTAGTTCGCGCCTAAACCAGTAGAGTACACACACGCGGTGTCCCGTTTATCTCAAAAGTGGTAAAAACGTGCCCTCCAATGTTGGCGCACGGAGCCCATAGAGAGGTATGTCCTGTGTCACTGGCCACATATGACACTCTCTTTCAACCCCCTGGGTAGTCTTCAATCAATTAAGGAGTCCAATTTGATGGACTTAATATCCCTTCAAAACAAGGATAGTATTCAGACAATTACAGAGAGAATCCAGGAGTAGGTTTGATGGTAGGATATGCAAAAATGAGCACCAGATGACTGGTGCTTTAAAACAAGGCATGTGCAACCACAGAGCAAGGAACCACAGCCTGAATATCTGGATAGAATTTACAAGAATTAACGCCATAGTAGCTAAAAAAAGTTGACTAAATTTTTACTAAGGCCAAAAAAAACAAGTCTCCGGTTTCTGGTATGGAGCTTGCCCCAAAAGTGGTGCGGCGACGCGTTTGTTTTTTTTTTTTACCTGGTTTTTTTTTT